GAATTTAAGGATTCGGAGTTTGGACTTCGAGAATGTTGGGTTTTCGGGTGTGCAGCTTATGGTTTAGGGGTTGGGTCGTCGAGTGGCCGAGAGCGGCTGGGGTAAGGATCGCTCCCGCGACAGCCCGGAACCCAAACGGCAACAACCAGAAATCTCAAGCCGTCCTAGTCTAGACTGCTATTCCTTCTATTCTAGGAAAGATCCTGAGCAAGGAATCCCTAGTGGATCTCCGAGTCTCTGGGCCAAACCGTGGGCACTGACCAAGCCAGTGACCCAAAGAACCAAAACCGACCCTCGAAACCCTCCCCTCCTCCCCCCCCCCCCGCATGTTTGCCAGTTTGCCGTTCGAGCATTTTTTCTTCTGCTTTTTCGACAGACGAGAGAAAAGCAAGCAGTCACCAAAGCAGTCTCCGAACACGCACGCTCGGCCACCGGCCCTAGGCATCAAGGACTCTTTACTGTACCCCACACCGAAACCGTGAATCCCAAACCCTCTTAAAGCCTTCAGAAGCCAAAGGTGCTCGGCAGTAAATCCGAGCACCCCCTAAAGGCGGAACCCCAAAATCCCGAACCCATAAAGCCTAAACGGCCTCTAGAATCTAGAACTTTGCGCCTCATTCCAGGATCCTAAAGAGGAGCCCTCAGCCAAAACCCCCTGAACACTCGAACCCTAGACCCTAAACCCTAGCATAAACCCTAAGCCTAGCACTCTGTTGACCACTAGCCTTAAGCTCCGAACCTCCAAACACCCGCCCCGACCCCTAAACATTAGAATCCCACACAACGATCCGTTTTGGGTCCGCAGTGGGCTCGAGGCCGTCCAGGACCTCCTGCAGCTGCGGAGGCAGCGGGGCCTCTGCCAGCAGACTTTGGCCGGAGAGGTCGCGAAGCTGGATCCTCCCAGGGCTTTGTTTAGAAGGGCTCCTTGTTTAAAGGGTTCTATACGGAACTTGGTTTTGCCATCTTGAAAGTGTTGGCGTCTTGAGGGCTTCAAGATGTAGGAACTGGGGCTGAGCTGAGGCATGCCTCGGTTTAAGCTTTTAGGTTTGTGGCCGCGGTGCTCGAGCTTATAGGAAGGATCCCTAAGGAATAACATCCTCCTTGTTAAGGTCCCTCGGTAGGGTTCAGGGATGCAGCTTCAAGGGAACCTGTGGCGGTGCGAGACCGGAGACCCTGTGGGGTCGTGGGGCATCCGCAAACCTGCAACGCTGAAACCGAAAGCCTGGAAAAGCACACAAAGCCATGAACGCTGAAACCCCACACCCTCAAAGCCCTAAACTTCCCGAAACCCTCAAAGCCCTAAACCCTCAAAGCCCTAAAATTCCCGAAACCCTCAAAGCCCTGAACCCTCAAGGCCCTAAACCCTCAAGGCCCTAAACGCTCAAAGCCCTAAACCCCAAACCACGAATCTGAAACCCTGGGAGCTTCCAAAGCTTATAGCTTCAATCCTACAAGACCTAGACAACGAAGAGCCACGGTTTAGGGTTTAGGGTTTAGGGTTTAGGGTTTAGGGTTTAGGAGTCACGAAAGCCGTAACACCAAAAAAAGGCTTTTGGGGCATAGGGTTTAGGGTTTAGCGGGACAGGCACCAAACCCAAAGCCCGCAATGCCCCAAGCCCCAAAGCCTGCAATCTACATGAACACTACTAAACCCTAAACCCTAAACCCTAAACCCTAAACCCTAAACCCTAAACCCTAAACCCTAAACCGGCCCTTAAGGCCTAAGTGAATTCAAAACACCAACCCCGAACCCAAAGTTCGGAACGGAACCGGAAGAGGTCCGGTGGCAGTGCAGGAACAGCCGCGGGCATCGGCCCAGATTCTCGGAATCTGGGGTCCCATACCTCTAGAGACGGGGCCTTCAAGAAGTAAGGTTCAGATTGAGAATCTTAGCTGCTTGCTTTGGGATTTTACAGTCGAAAGATTGTAGGAATTAGGAGGGTGGAGCCCTTCAGAGGTCTAGACCGCTGAAGGCATAGGGGGGTTCGAAACGAAGGTGCGTAAGAGCTTGGCCCGGCTTTGATCTAAACCCTAAACCCTAAACCCTAAACCCTAAACCCTAAACCCTAAACCCTAAACCCTAAACCCTAAACCCTAAACCCTAAACCCTGAACCGTGAGCCGTGAGGGGCTTTAGGCTCAGGGCTGAAAGTCAAAGGGACGAGCTCAGAAAGAAGTCGGGCGCTAGACCTACCTTAAGAACCCAAAACCCCACCTTTTTTGAAGGGTTCTTATTATAAACCTTAATATGGGATTTAATAGGGGCCCTACAAAAAAGTAGGGTTTTGGGTTCTTAGGGTAGACCTCTACCATGCAGAGGAGGCTTGAAACTTTACGCTCATAAGGCGAGGGACCTCCCGGAGGATCCCAGTTGAGGTGGGGGCCTTTGGGCAGCAGGGCGGATGGGCTTCGCTCGCAAGGACTTGCATCTAGGAGAGAAACCAAGAAGCACTCTAGATCCCGTGTGACAGCTTCGAAATCCAGGACGCACGTGATTTCTTTCTTCCTCTTCGGTATTGGTGGCCCATGGAAGAAGAGGCTATTTAGTGTGCAGTGAGGGATCAGCGAATGCCTCAAAGCAGCACAAGCGTACGAGCTTGCGAGGGCACCACAAGTACTAGTAGGTGCACAAAGGCAGAGGCATGTGCAAGCACGGCCAGCACAAGCTCAAGAGCCAGCACAAGCGCAAGGGGATCCACATGCGGAGCATCCACCAACGGAACAGCATGTACGAGAGCAAGCCGGGTTTGGCAAGAAAACTCAAAGACTCAATGGCTGCCGGACAAGCCGTTTATGCCCATTCAGCTCCGAATTAGAGCTCTTGTCACCAAGCTGTCTAAGCGAGCATGAAAGTAGTGTGAGGGGAATCACAAACCTTCCCGTCGACGCCTCGAAGCCGACATTCAATTTTAGGGTTTAGGGATTTAGGGTTTCGGGTTTAGGTTTTAAGGTATCTAAAGTCTATCCAACAATCCATGAACCCTAAACCCTCAAGCCTCGATCTATTTCAATAGCTCGGGCACGTCTGGTCACCAACCAACGGCTGGTCCATGCTGGCCAGATGAACGCGGATCCTTGAAGGATGTTGAAATGGCAGAAAGTCCCAATATAGGGGCCAGAAAACTTAGAATAGGGTTTGGGGTGCTATCACATTATACATAGAACCTGGAACGCTGAGGAATAGTAGTGGTGGTATTTATTTGGGCTTCTGTAGTAGCCGAAACCGCGTCTCATCTACCAAGACGGAGGGAAGTTGATGGGCCGTGTCTCGTGTTTCTCAAAGCCTTGACTTTCAACGTCACGTCCTCATCACCTTTACTGGCCTTGCTCTGCTGGCAGACTGATAAACCCTATGTTGCGATGAGCATACAGCATGAGGCTTCGTCCTTGCTTCTTGCCAAGAGGATGTCGGCGCAGCTACGAATCTGTATTATCCGAATTAAAGGAAACTACAGGTGGGGAGTTTAGGGTATATAGGGCTTCTATCAGGCTTCCATAAGGTATATAGACCTTCTATAAGGATCCTATAACGGTAACTACCCACCTGAAAATGTCCTAGACCGAAACCCAGGTCCAAGAAGAACCTTAAACTGGAAGGCGCGAACGGCAAAACCCTATAAAATGCTTAGGCCCGACATCTGAGATCCAAAATCCTAAACCATCCTGAAGCCTAAACCCTAAACCCTAAACCCCTAAACCCTAAACCCTAAAGGCCCTAAACCCCGACCCCATATATGCCTCAACCCTAAACCCGAGACCTTTCATCCCGCAGGCCTGTAGCCCGAACTCTTCATTCTCTGACTCCCAGACTTTTGAACCCTCAGCCGCAGGGCCCCAAAGTACTAGGCCCTGAGACCTAATACTGATACCCCTAAAGCCTGATATCTCTATACCACAAAGCCCCTAAATCCCAGAACCCTCAAACCTGAGACCCAAGATGAAGCCGCATGATGATAACCACACTAAACCCTAAACCCTAAACCCTAAACCCTAAACCCTAAACCCTAAACCCTAAACCCACACCCAAGTCAGCCGCGGCTCTGGTGGGTGCGGCCCGTTTCCTAGCGCACGCGAACGCATGGGATTCAAGATATAGGGTTTTGGATACTAGCGCGTTGGGTTTTGGAGCCCATTCTACCAAAATTAGAATAAGGAACCCCCCAAAATAGTATTGGTGACTATTTAGGCCCCTACATGGGAGTTGGGAGTTTCCGAAAATAGG